TATCTATCTATCTATCTATCTATCTATCTATCTATCTCTCTTTCTCTCTCTCTCCCTCATTCCCTCTCTATCTCTCTTTCTAAACTCCACCACCACCACCAATAACAACAACACCAGCAACATCAACAACAACAGCTACAGCAACAACAATAACAATAGCAACAACAACAGCAACAACAACAACAACAACAACAACAACAACAACAACAACAACGAACTCCCAATCCCATGTCAATCCCACTGACGACCGCTTGTATCACCACACATTATCATCCAAATGCACTCTCACCATATACACTTTCTCCATGGTCTCAGCTCGGCAACTGTCAGCTAATCCAAGTCGACGAGACGACGACACGGTGTGAACCATTGTTGTGCTGAACCATGTACGTCTGACAAGGCTCTATGCATATATAGATATATCAGTTCTCGGCGTCTCTTTTACTGCAAAGTGACAGTGTTCACTCTTGACCAGCTCTGCTGCTGGTGACTACAGCTCCACTGGCGAAAACTAAAACGAAGACAACCATAACGACGACAAAACAACATAATACTATTAATATTATCTTCGCCCACCTGTTCAAATGTACAAAGCCCCTTTGTTGTTGGTTTGTTGTTGTTTTTTGTAGCTTGGTTTGGTATTTTGTTGTTGTTGTTGTTGGTTTTTTTAAGGGTTTTTTTTTTGTTAGGGGTTTGGGGGTAAGGGGGCGGGAGGTTGCTTTTGAATAGCAGTTTCTAAATGTGTGGTGTCAGCTGCATGTGATCGAAGAAAGAAGACCGTCGACTCAGCTCGCGTTGAACTCGCCTGGGTTGATCTTCGGTTAAGTTGGGTCTTTTCCTCAGGTCCCAGCACCCCTTCTTCTCTACAGGTCAAAACGGTTAATTGGAATTTTGGATGAGTTGATCTTTTTTTCACTCTCCCTACGAATTCAACTCATCAGTAGTTGACTGTAAAGTTGTTCCCGCATACGATCCGGACTTTGGGGATTGCCTTGTTACTGAGACAACTTCCTGGGCCTTTGGCATATTGTGGTTGGGTGGCCAGTTCCTTTCCATGCCACCTTTACTTCCCCAACTCGAAGTCATGTACCCATAACTGCTGGGTGGGCAGGAGAGGGCGAGAAAAAAACCGTGTCGGAACCGAGGCTCGAACCCGGGCTTTCCAATCGACTGTATGTTGTCGAAATTTTAAATTGCAAAGTGTTGAAAAAACGCAAGAAACGATACATAAGTAAAATTGTTAAAAGAATGAAACGGGTGATGGAGATCTATAGTATTTTATATAAATTTATGAAGAATTTTAATGTTGCCTCAATTATTGTGGAAAAATATGATAAAGTTAAGACAATTTTAATACAAACTACTATGCAAAGAATAGCTGTGACACTGATTCACTCGTTAAAGAAATATTTGGAAGCTTGCACCTAACATTTTTGACAGCACTCTACGCCAATCTGATATGATCTCTCGTCATGTCTCAAGGAGTGATATTTTCCTTGTTTTGTTTTGTTTTGTTTTTTTAAACTCTGAATAAATATAGTTGAAAAGAGAACACTTCTATTTATGAAATAAAATGGAGGTAAAAAATTAGCTGAAAGATCGTTTGCTGCCCCATCAGTTGGAACTCTCTTCCCCGACCCTTGAGACATACAACATCTGAGTCTTTAAAAAAATATATAACAAAAGACACATTTGAATAAATCATTTTTATATCAATGATTCGTGTTCAGTACAATGTTATGTAAATGACTATGTATCCATTTATGTATAAGAATTGCATTGTTTATACTATTTTGTTATGTATAATTTGTATGTGCTCATTTCGTAACGATGTGTAAGCGTGCACGTGTGATAAGCAAGACAGTGTGTGTGTGTGTGTGTGTGTGTATGTGTGTGCTTGTGTGTGTGTGTGTGTGCGTGTGTGTGTGTGTGTGAGTGTGTGTGTGACAGTGCGTGTGAGTGTGTGTTTGTGTGTGTGAGTGTGTGTGTATGTGTGTGTGTGTGTGTGGTGCGTATGTGTGTGTGTGTGTGTGCGCGTGTTTGTGGCGTGCATGTGTGTGCACGTGTGTGCGTGTAATGTG